TAATTGGTTGACAAATTTCATCAGGAGAGCTGTTTAAAAATGATTTGCATAGGGGGGGACGGTCGATTCGTCCCAAATCACATTCGTCCCAAGTCGTTTCGTCCCACAAGTCGATTCGTCCCAAGTCGATTCGTCCCACAAGTTAATTCGTCCCAAAGTCGATTCGTCCCACAAGTTGATTCGTCTCAAAGTCGATTCGTCCCACGCACTGTTTTTGCCGACGTTATATACAAATACACCTTATATGCAACGTAGAGTTATTAGTTAATAAAAACAAATACACCTTACACGCAAAGTACAAGTTATTAGTTAATAAATACAAATACACCGTACACGCAACGTAGAGTTATTAGTTAATAAATACAAATACACCGTACATGCAACGTACAAGTTATTAGGTAATAAATACAAACACACCTTACATGCAACGTAGAGTTATTAGTTAATAAATACAAATACACCGTACATGCAACGTACAAGTTATTAGTTAATAAATACAAATACACCTTACATGCAACGTAGAGTTATTAGTTAATAAATACAAATACATCGTACATGCAACGTGGAGTTATTAATTAGCGTGTCAGTAACAGTTGGCATAGAAATTGACCCTGCTCAAGATCGTAATGCTGACCAAAAATTAAATAAATTGGACGAATGTGAATTGGGACGAATGTGAAATGGGACGAATGTGAATTGGGACGAATCGACTCGTGGGACGAATGTGAATTGGGACGAATCGACTTGTGGGACGAATGTGTTGGGACGAATGTGAATTGGGACGAATTGACTGTGAATCTAAGTACCTTGGGGAGTAGACCTCACTTAAATTTGTTCATTTCATTTCATGATATCTTTAATTCTTTAATTTTGGTGATTATTTTTGTAATTTTAGGTAAAAAGTGATATTTTTGACTTTCGATTTCTTTGATATTATACATATATATGTAGATACTACAGGTGGGCCTCTCTCAGATTTGTTAATTTTGTGATGTTATCTTCTATTGAAACGTGCATTGCTGACAGCTTGTTAAAAACATTAACTTGCTCTCTCTATCTATATAATGAGGGATGCATTAGAAACTTTTGTGATTTGATTAAAAATAGCGTACTGGCAGCCATTATGTTTTATTTTTATGTTTTTATGTTATGGCAATGACCGCAATGCACCGCCCATTTTATTTCCTACTCTCCCCTTAATTTAAATTCTTGTTACTGACATTTTTATATGTAGCTATAAATTCTGAAGAAAGGCAAGAAATATGGGTTTCATATAAAAATGAATTTGTGATTCCTTTTGATAAAATGTAACTA